AAATCCTATTCAATTGCAAGCGTATAGCAGACTTTCAAAGTCGTTTTTCTCGAAAATGAAGTCTCAAATGAGAAAATTGTATTCTACATTTCCGACTTATTTTTTCACGTAAAATCACTCCGATTCGGTTGTACCACCAGTTACATGACACCCTGTATATTCTTTATTAAGTCATAGATAGTTTGTAAAAATATCAATAGCATCTGTAGTGTTTATACCAGTATTAGATAAATTAATCGATTAATCAAGTATTCTAAATTCATTTAAAAAATAAACAATTATTGCATGTAGTAGATAAGTCGTAAAAGGTTTATCCGGTGATGCAAGTGGTTTCATCGTCTTAATAATCAGACATCCCTTGAGATCACACTGTAGAAGCTAAATTTTTAGGTTTATCTTGCATCTGTAGATCGACTCATTTTAACACGTCGACTGCCAAATGATCATCTATAAAACTTCATTATGATTAAAACAATTTGTTACCCAAACCGAAACTGTAAATATGTACTACCATTTATAACTAGTTATTCATCTACATTTATCAGACTTTATTAAAATTTGTGACAAATTCCTTCAAGGAAAGTAATCTTCATGGAAAACGGAACCACAAAAGAAGACACTTAAACACCACAGATCAAAATCAATTCTTTTTGCATTCAATACTTTATTACGTAAATTAATTTCTATTTGCAGATAAGGAATCGTGTTAATTCAGCAATAGTTGTGAAACTTTTTATTGTTACGAGAAGAACATTAATTAATGAATTGCAGAGTATAAAAAATTTACCCTGCAATTAATGGACACGAACATTAGTAGCAAATTAAAGTAGACAAAAATTATTTGATTAATAGTATTCAAAATCAAACAACACAGTACAATGTACTATCCTAAGCATTAAAATGCTCAAACGGTGCAATAGAATATATGTTCACTCTGTTTCATCTTTTCGCTGTTTGAAAAGTAAACTAGGCGTATAACATTAACCCCTTTGCCCTATGATTTTCTTACTGTCTGCAGTCTCCAGAATTACTTTATCATCAATAATTCCCCAGAAACAAAAGGAATTCGTGTGCTTATCGCAATTGTACATTTACTTTAAAAGGTAAATATTAATATCAGCAAAGTAGTATTTCACTTTGACTCAAAGAAAACATATAATATTTCAGTTTGTTGAATCCATTTTGATATCGTCACCACGAGTCTGACTCGATTTTATAAGGCAAGGGGTTGAAAATCTCTAAATAAACATAATTTCAAAATACGTTTAATATCTGTGCAAAGCACTTGAATCGCAAATACGATCGTGAGACATCATACATTGTATGACTATTCAAGAACTGTGACTAGCTTAACATTATGATTATACGATCGGTATCTATTGTCGTAAACAACGGTCACAATCGATCTGCACCGTTGCGCGTCTGTCGCTGTACACATAGTTTACACGGGAAGAAACGGTTCACCAGGCAGTATTAATTATTGCCACTTATGTGCGTATTTACCTCTAGTTGTCTGGACCACGTTTACACACGAGACTTGAAAGTGTTTTTCAATACAATAAATAAAAAAGATATTTGCACACACATACATATTTTAAATAATTTTATAGACTTCTAGATCGTGACATAAAAGTTACTCTATTTTCAGTTGCAATAAGTAGACTACGGATGTTCATTATATAGCGTTTATAGCGTTGCATTTATAGCGTTTCTTACCTTGGAAAATACAATAAAATTAAGGTTTTTGTAAAGTTTAATACTACTTATATGTTATAATTAACGTAGAAAATCTCTTGCACAGAATTCACAATTCTGTCCAACTTCGATCTCCAAATATTAGTATTGGGAATCGTGAATTTGCATAACCTTCCGCAGTCTAGCAATCAACAAGAGCTTTAAAATAACGTATTCTTCGCCATTGAATTTCTTTTCATTCTGTTTAACATATTTACTATGATAAATATGTGTGCAAATACTATTTTTGTTCATTGTGCATGACAGATTTGATAGAAATTCTATGGTGTACAGGATATTTCAAGACGCATATGGTATGAGATTTTTACTAAAAGATAAAATGTATAAAAATTATGATAAATATGTTCTTCCATATTCTTTCTAACGTAAAGAAATGTATTAATACGTCAAACATCTTACTCTGATTCTAAATTATGTCATTCCATTTTTCAGTATTTTTAAAAGTAAATACAATGATTTTGGAGATAGAAAACGGTTTTTTCGTTACATTAAAACCTACATGAAAACGTGTTTTTTTTTCAAATCTTTCCGTGATAAATGCCAGCCAGAATGGATCATCCGTCTCAAAATACGCTGTACAAACCGTTCTCACAAAATTCATCAAAAAAATGGGTCAGAAGTTTTCAGTCGAGATTCCCTTACGTGAAATCGGAATGCTGAAAATGCCAGCGAAACGCCGTGTTTTTCTAATGATTAAATCCGCTATTTTAAAAACAACGTGCAAAGACAATCTTGGAAGATTCTTCTAAAATTACCGGATATATTGAATCAATTTTGAAAACGAAAAAATCTTCAAAACTCAAACATAGTGTAATTCGATAGAAACTCGAATAATTCTTTCCGACGACGCCGCTAATTTTATTTAAAATGAACATTTAACTTATCAAAACAAAAAGTCGACGACGCAATTCTCAAAAGTGAAACCAATTGCACTAATAATCCAATGAGATATTGGAATAAAAATCTCGCAAGCCATAATCTTCCGCTATACAGGAAGTATGTTTCAAAACCGATAAACATTGAGGTTCCCAACGAACGTGGCTACATTTTAGCTAGAATTAATTAAGACCGTTTAATAGTAATATTCGAAAATTACTACTGCACGAATGAAATACATTTTCGTTCATTACATTCGCAAAACTGCGAAATATTCATTGTCCGATCCGGCGAATCGAGACACCGTTTTAGAGAGACTTCGGAAACCAACTTACATTTAAAGCAATTCCTTTTGTCTCGATATCGTACTATTCTACGATGGAACTTTCATTAACTGTCTAGCAACCTACGGCAGTGACACGTGTCGAAAATTGCTATCGAGTAACAACAATCATTTTTATCTGTGGATTCGATCGGAGCTGTCCAACTAATGTGTGTCCCCAAAGTACAATATTTTATAGTAATTTTCGTCTACACATATATACACAGGGTGAGTCACGACAGTTTGGAATTACAGATCCTCCAATTTTACTTTATAAACACTAAATTCGAAGATGAAAATTAACACGTTCCGTGCCCAGTGGGTCGTCAATGGCCCATGAAGAACTTTCCGTTCTGACCAATGGTAATTTCACTATCCACACAATACATTGTAACATTAATTATTTCTAGTAATTCAATAGAACCGCTGTCTTATCATACAAAGTATTTTATATATTGTGTCTTATCGTTCATAACATTGATATTTTTAGTCTCGCAACTGTCATATGTTATATGCTATAAAAGTTTGTAGCATGGTCTGTTGTAGGCCATCATTTACCAAGCTTGTGTGAATGGAATGTCGTAAAGGCCTGGGTTACAGAATGTGTTAATATGAATTAGTTGTCTCTCGGGGTCAAATAAAAATTATTCAATCTTTTGACTGTAATAGGATCTATGTGTCCTCTTATCCCCTAGAAGGAATATGATCAAATTGTTGAAAAAAAGTTCTCAAAATTCTACTGACAAAATGTAATGATTGCAATTTTCTTTCAAAAATGAGTAGTATTTAGTAATGTTTGTTGTTTGTGATATTAAACAAATTATTTGAAATTCCAGCCTTGAGTAACTCCACCTGTCCATGTGACAATATATACATATACATTGTATTTTTTTTTAAACTTTACGTCTTCTCTAATATTTCCATTTCAAATTCAACAACTTTTTCGTTAAAATTCTATTTCCATTCACCGTTCAATATACAATAATTTTTCTTTTGTTTTCTTTTTTCACGCCTACGTGAAAACGAAATTCAGAACACGGTTCTCACGAGGTAAGAAGTTGGACAGCCTTACGTTCTAATTGTATCAATAATTGCATACTATAATCTGCGATAAGTATTCATATAAAAATTTCTCTTCGTTTCAATCGGTAGTCGTTATAAATTGACTTTAATATTGGTGTCTATCTATTACACGAATATTTTATCGTCTTTTATACGAACGACAATGATTTCGTTTGATTTCTCTGATTATATAAACAATCCAAACGAAGCAATTACACAAAATAAAAACATAATTTGTGATTCGAACGAAATATAGGTAATTCTTCGACAAACCATAAGTCGAAAATGTACAATAAAATTTCTTCGTAGGATTTATATTAAAGAAAATTGCGTCGAAAATTCGGACAACGTATGCTATTACTTAAGTGTCTGTATTGCTTAAGAATTCTCGAAGAAGGAAACTTCATATGAAACATTTTCATACATTTCCGATTTATGTTATAGACGATAAATTATAGTATTTCTTTTTTCTATATATCACAAGTTATGTCCTGTTCTGCGGCTATAACAATCAGCAATTTAGAAGAAATCGCATTAAACGACGGCTCGCGCGGCTGTGTGTCTGCCGTTTAATGCAAAGTCGACATAAAAAGTATACCCTTTGCATATATAATTTGCTAGTTCAATTGCACTGATTGGTTCGATACTTAGCTGCGCGTACTGAGTACAGATAAATGCAATAAAGACGCAAAGAAACGAATAGAGCTGGATAATGTAACAACATTTTAAGCTAAAGGGTGTTAGTACGTTATCGCGCGATATACTCAAACGTAAATCAACAACTGTACGTTTGAACTCAAATTAATCATGGGTTAAAGATTATGTACCGTTACTGCAATACATACCTTTAAAATGATTACGAAAAAAATATTTCCGCGGCGAATAATTTATACGTATAAAAAAAGAGAATGAACGATCTGTAAGTGAGGATTAATAGAAAAATAATGATATGGGTATTCGAATATTTGTTAAGAGTATATACTAACTACAGTCGGACCTTCAACTCTTCCATTCTTTGTCGTATTCTTCGACGCATCTCTTTGTATCTGGAAACAAAACGCATAATTTTCAGTACATTTTATATCACCTGATCCATAAGAATTATATATATTTGTTTTAAGAAACGTACTTTTCCTTCAATAAAAGAATCTGACGTTCCTCCTCGTAATGATAACGTTGCAAAATGCCGTGACACTCTGCCAGTGAGAGGTTAAGAAATTGTGCGACGTCGGAGCTGATTTCTGGCGTGGACAATTTGTCAACCAGAAACAGCCGCGCAACGTTCTCGTGCGGACCCAATACTACTCGAACTTCTAAAGGATATTCATCCTCTCTCAGTCTTCGTTGTTCTAAAAGAAATATTTAATGAAATCAATATTGAAATTGACAAAATAACCGATTTCACCTTATTAAAACCTACCTCCATTGTCGCGAACCACAAACAATGCAAAATTGTCCGGTTTAGCATCCACTTTGTATTTGTCTAACATGAGATTGATAACTTCTTGAGTATTTACTAGGCTTGTAATCCATACGGACATTTGAGATCCATGGGGGGGTGTAAAAAAACTGGTTTCACGGTTATAAAAGTGGCCGTTAATTGAACAACGACGCCGTAAACGACTACGAGATTGCCGTCGACCCCCAGGTCGACGTCTGATGGCAGTAGAACCTTGTTTTCGTCGTAAAACTACACCTTCGAGCTAAAATGCATTGTAATTGTATGTTAAAAGTTAAAATTACATTTAAATACAAAGGTATAATTATTAATCACCTCTAATCCGCTGTCAGTAGACATAGTCATGTTGTCATCTTCTCTGAACTGAAGAGAATTTACAGAATCCGTGTCACTATCTGTCCGATGTCTTTGAAGACAATCGGGTCCTGACATCGATCGATTTAATCCCTTCTCTATCCAACTATCATCAGTACTGATGGATCTATTGCCAGGTATGTTTTTTTCCAAACTATCAAAATATTCTACCCTTCGAAGTGTCCCATTTCGATTCGGAGTTCCGTGATAAACGGGTGTGTCGGTACTGGAAGAGCTTCCTATACTGTGCGTTGGCGTACTAGTTACACTACTATCGTTGCCACGACTCGTTTGATGATTTGGGCTACTCGTTTCTGAATTTTCGCGGGAATCAGATTTATTGAGACTGGACTGAGAGGAAACCGGCAATGCATCTGAACTGTTCTGCGAACTTATCGACGGTAAATTCTCAGGCATTGTTTGATACAACTTATTTCCATCTTCAACTTTACGCTCCACCTACGAGAAGAAATTCCAAATCATAAGTAATAATGTAAATTATGATTAACGCTTATGAATTTGAAATAATTGATATGCAACCTGAAGAAGCTCATCCAACTCATCCCATTCCATAGTTTTAACATCTAATTTCATTGGCAAAGTGAGACTCTTGAGATGATCTGGAGAAGTTGGAGCAGACTTTGTTTCAGTTTCTGTATCCTGCTCAACGGTACCCTTCACTGGCTTATCCTCCTTTTCTTCATCTTCTATACTCTATTTGAGTATAAAATATATATTGAAATTTACAAGATCTTTAGCGAGTATATGTTTTTACAGAAATGCGTATACATACATCCGAAGCACTGCGTCTACATGAATTTCTATTTCTAGCTGTAACCACTGTACGTTGATCATCGTCTTCTTTTAAGTGGATAACTCCTCTAACACCCCAGTAAATTCGCAGTGCACCTTCTAATATCAATCTTCCATTGACCTACATAAAATAAATGTGAAATATCCTTTTATCTATCTAGTTTTCAGAATATAATCATTCAAGTGAAATTGTATTACCTCACGACTTCTTATCCCACCACTTTTTCCTTCGTAGTACTGATTGAAAACTTTCAGCTTTGATTCTAAGTGTGATCTAGATACAAGTAAAATTTAATGAATATATCAATGTAATTAAAATATAAATGAACAATATATGTGCAATAATATACCGTGGTAAAGATGGTCGAGCTTCTTTCTTTCCAAAACTTGTGTGTGATTCAACTCGTGTTCCATGACCAAATAACTGTGGTCCAAAAAGTGCTCCATAACATGGTACATGGCAATATGGTACACCTTTGTGCTATACAATAATAATAGGGAAATATTGATTATCATTTTACAGATAATGATTAGTAGTATTAACTTAACAATGCCAATGTAAAATTCATTAAATGAATATTTTGTTTCAATCAAATTCAATACGTTTATAATATTATGACAATAATTCTGTGATAAACTATTATTGTACCTCTGCATGTTGGCCAGGATTTAAACGTTTCCCACATTCTTCACAACGTAAACACTCTGGATGCCAATCATACCCCAATGACTGCTTCCGTTCAGCTAAGAATCCATAAATTATTAATAATTTTATTGCAAATAAATATATTTATATAATATATATCTACATGAAATACACTGATTTTTTAAAAAATTTATTTACCAAAATGGAAGAATTACATACAAATTATAGTTTTTTTAAATGTGCCATATCGTGTATTTATTTAAACATCATAAAAATATTTTTAGTACAGAAATTTGAACTTACAGAATAGTATTAACTCATTTATTTTGATTGATTAAATGCAGAAATAAATTTTTATTCCCACTAATCTTACTTTTTCCAATGCTTTGTAGAATAAAATATTTAAATTAGAAGGACAAAAAAACAATTTTTGTTATTCGTTTTATTATTAAAATAATTGTTTAATTAACAACGAAACAAGTTAGTTTTCAAGTAATCTTTTTACTTGTAAAAATTATACATATGAGATTCATACAAACAAAAGACGGATCAATTCGTCCTAATGACAAGAAACGGTACTTGTCAAAATTAGTACGCATTTTTAATATGTGTGAAGATTGGGACTGACCGAAGTATACTGGTTTCCCACATTTATGGCACTTCCACATGACGGCGGACACTCGAGAGTTCCATAAAAGAATAAAAACTGATTTTTATAGAGTTTTAATCCATTTTGTTTATACTATATGAATAGGCGCATTGAAAATGACATGCGGGTTAATTAAAGATGTTACTAGTAAGGCAACCTTCGCTGAATAATGAATGGTTCCTGTCTGGGTTCGAAAACGTATCAAGTAAGTACTTGACTTAGATTTGCTTTGCTAGGAACATAGAGTATAAAGTAGATAGGAAACTATAAAGTCAATGTAGTGCATTCAGTGACTTTTATTCATTTTTATTGACTCATATACACTTAAATTGGTGATCACCGTCTCGATTATCGTTTTGAATATGTAAATTTGTCTAAAAAATATTTAATATATTTCCGTATGTCATAACATTCAATCAAACATCAGTCATGAAATATACTATATTCCGAAAAATGCAGAAAAACTATACAAATTGAAATTAAGTATTTTTAATAATTGTGCCAGATCGTTGGTTAACTTCTCCTATATACATCCATATGACATATTAATTAGTATTAAATTTTAATCCTTGGGCTGAGTTTAATCGTTCGGGCTGAGCGGGCCTAGCGGGCCTAGCGGGGATTCCACGGGTCGGGCATCGGGCGGGTATGGACGGGTTTGCGACGCGCATCGTTGGGCCTGCGCGGCCAGGTATAGTTCGGGCCGGGCCAGCCCAGGTAGAGATAAAACGACCGGGTGACGGGTAGGCTCAGCCTGCCCAATGCAGAACTCTAGTCAGTACCTGGTAGTACTATACTTTGTTGCTAAATAAACGACACCACTATAATCGTAAGAAATATTCATTACAACATTAAATACCAATTTACAGATAATAGGCAACAATTGTAATTAAATAATATCGATGTCAGAGACTTCAGCAAATAATTTGACAGTAACAGAAGCTATGTTTATTTTCATTTATGCCCAACTTCTCAATTTTTTTCTTTCAATATTTACTAATTTATTAAATACTTGTTAATAATACTTCTTTATACATTGTACAGTTTCAACGAACTTAAACACACAATTTGTCTCGTTTATGGTAGACGTTTTTAAATATTTTCAAAGTCTCAACTACTATAGTACAACAATATATAACAACTATCTTAAAATATTCGCGAAAAATTAATATTTCCAGCAATTTATTATGTGTATCAATTGTTTCTATGATAGAGACTGTTAACAACAATTTTAATTACATTTAATTAATTGAATACAAGAGTTTAAATAATTTGTCAAAGTTCAGTGTTTTGAAGGATTTTTAATCAGACCAATAGCTGCTCTTATTCTTTTAAGACATAAAAGGAAACTAACATGTAATTATAAAACATATTTCAATACATGGATGCATTTGGTTTCTGAAATATATTCACATAGAATAGATGTATTCATGTCAACAGAATATAAAAAAAATTTGATATTTAATTCCTTAATTCAGTTAATTAACAATAATTACAATTGAACTCTTCAGTTATCATTTAAAGTATAATCAAAACCACTTCAGATATAAATAAACTGTAATTACTTGCAATATCACTTTCAATATACCTTTTACAACAGTTTTCTTTTCAGGATGTTATCAGTAAATCAAAGCATTTGATTACATTTATGATTGGATTCATTAAACTGTTAAGATAACTGTTCCTATCAGTGCTCTTACTGCCTAGTGTTTAAAAATGCCAATTTTTAACAAAACCTTAATCTTCTATTAATATCAACAACAAAACATTATTAAAGGTGCAAGATATGTAATTTTGTTAAAAAGTTTATTTTAAAAACTGTTGTAGAATATAAATTACAGCCATTCATTATAATTATAATATTACATATTTAAAATGTTTTATGGACGTATTTCACGATTCAATAGATTAGTAACATTTGTGAGTAATTCTGAAGATTCTTCAGGTAAGCATTCAACCAATGAACACTGAAACTGATTCTGAAATGCATTTTTAAGTAGAGGTAGTACATCTGCAATAGTAACATTTGTATTCAGTTCTTCACTAAGACTAGTTACACCCTTTCCTTCTATACCACAAGGCACAATATGATCAAACCAATTTAAATTTGTATTACAATTTAAAGCTAAACCATGTGTTGTTATATATCGACTTCCATGAATGCCAATTGCACATATTTTTCTATCTTTTACCCATACACCAGTATCTGGTGATGTTTCAGCATAAATGCCATACTCAGCACACAAACGTATTATCATTTTTTCTATTTGACACACATACCACTTAACACTTGGTTTAAACTCTTTTAAATTTAATATAGGATATGCCACTAATTGTCCAGGTCCGTGAAAAGTAATCAAACCACCCCGATTTGTTCTAAAGAATTCTGCACCTAAATTTTTTAATCTCTCTTCATCTTGCAGAGTATAATTTTTGTCTCTAATACCAACTGTATAGACTGGATTATGCTCAAGTAATATTAATGTATTACATGTATTTTCTTCTATTTTTTGGCGATGACGATCAGACAATAGTTTTTGTAGTCTGAGGCCAGCATGGTAATTTAAACGACCTGCCCATAAAACTTTTACTGTTTTAGAAGACATAATGATACAATAATGAATAATCTTGGCGATTATGTAATTTTTGGACCTAGTTTCTCATATCTTTATATGCTTATGTAACTTGAAGATTGTCACATTACATATTTTCCTCCATTGCTTTTTTGTTGGCTTTCTCTTGTATAGTATTATGCAAAAGCCATGAAACCTGCCAAGAAAATCACAGTATTAACACACTTTATTTACATAATGAAATTAACAATAGAATGAAGAACATACATAGGCATCTGTTGCAGCATAAGTTTTTTGTTCTACACTTAAAGGATAAATATGCCAATTACTTTTCCTTACTTTTGGATTCTTATCAATTTTTTTGTTTAACTAAAATGAGAAAATAAGTCATTTATGTACATCACAGAAATAACCATCATAGAATTTTGAACTGCCAGTTAAATTTTATAAAAAGGCTAACCAAATATGCTGTTAATTTTTCTAAACTCCAGCGACAGGATCTATTTAATACTTTGTTTGCAAATGTACCACTGTCCAAACAATTACTTTCCACAACCTTCTGGGCTGGAAATTCTTTGAAATCTCTTCCTAATTTCCAAATGTCACTGTAAATTAAAAAGTTATGTTAAATATGTGGAACATCATGCACTATTATCACATAATATTTTACTTACTTTTTAATATTTACTCCAACAAGTTTTACCTTTGGATGACTTAATAAAATTGTAAATGCAGCAGGTAATTTTTTTAACGAATATACATGGAATAAATAACAGACATCGTTATTCCAACAAATTTGTGCTAAAGCAGTTTTTCCACTTCCAGTCTGAAAACTAAAAGGCCATTCCAAATCAAATCCTATTGGAACTGTCTCATTATTACAACTTTCTATTTGTTGTCTAAAACAAAACATGGAAAAAAAGTAAAAACGTGAACAAATATTTTTACCTTGATACCAAATTGCTTCTCAATTGTAATAGTATATATCTTACATTATAGCATCACAGATCATAGCACAATCATTAAAATCATTAGTATAATTAATACATCCCTTGAATATAATAGGTTGTAAAAGACAGATATCAGGCTCTCTTTCTATAACTAGCTTCTGTTTGTCGTTTTCCTATCAAAAGAATCATAATTAACAGTACATAAACTGACAATGTTTTAATTTGATTATGACATTAAAAGAAATTTCGAATTTCATAGATTATATAGTTAACTGTACTATTACTTTTTAAATCAAATTATTATTTACGGAATATTATTCTTCTTCCTCATTCTAAATGTATGTATGTATATATTTATGTTTTCTTTCATAAAATATAAATTAAAGCTTATGGATACTGTTGGATACCCCCCAGTATTAGTTTGTTATACATATAGTTGGTTAGTTGGTTATACACTGTAACAGTCAAGGCAGCGTACGTGACTGCGTTTAGACGTAGAGATTTGTCACGGTTCTCAAGGACCTATCCTACCCGTGCCCCTCCAAGGAAAAACTTCTCCCCTTTTAGGACCATCTTTCGCTTTCTCCGATGCTTTGTAGGCAAACTTTTCCGAGCCCTCGAATAAGAAACATCTCTAGCTGTGACTAAGTGTAACGATAGAATAAAGCAATCAACTGTTAAATAAAGAGTACAATTGTTTCACCCACGGGATCACAACACAAAATTGGCGTAGTCGGTAGGACCCGTTAACGGTGGAAGAATAAAAGAAACTTTTGTTATAAAGTATTCTTCTCCAGTGAAGTTTATACTGTGACGGAAATCAATGATCGATTCCGTGAGTCTACGCATCCAGGTGCTACTACACTGAAGGAGGTCAACGTGACGAGTTCAGGCACTGCATTACTGGTAGACGACAGGTACTGTTTAACTTTTGTTGCTTGATAATCGCCTTAGTACTCAGTAATCCTTATAATGTCTCAACCACAATCTTCCGACAATTCAAGCTCCTCTCATGATTCATCTCAAACTGAATTTTCTATTGAATTTATATGCGGGCTAATTCCAAAAGAATTTTCTGGTAATCGTTTCGAACTGTGACAATTTATAGCCAATTGCAATAATGCAGATGAGCTTGCGACGGAGCGACAGAAAATTCCACTTTTATATTTTATTCTTTCAAAAATTTCGGGACACGCTAAAGAACAACTTACCCTTCAAAGATTTAATAATTGGTCTGAGCTTAAAGAACAATTGAAAAGTTTGTATCAAGATACAAAACACTATTGCCAAATAATGGAAGAATTAAATAATTGCAAGCAATTACATTCCGAGAATATCAGTTCTTTTCATCAGAGATTATAAACACTTTCTTCGAGAGCTTTGGGTGCCGTTCAACAATATTCAAATAATCCTTTAGAAATACCTGGGAAGAAAAAAGCTGTCGAAGAAATTACTTTAAATCGATTTATTTATCATAGTTGTCCACAAATCTCTCAGATGCTCAGATGGAAGGATTTTGATAATTTAAATTCCGCGTACATTGCAGCTATTTCGGAAGAACGTGCTTTAAGGATGCATAAATTTCAGAAACAAAAATCTTGTAATATCTGTGGCAAGATTAACCATGACACATCGCGCTGTAGATTTAAACCACCAAATTCTGACCAATCTAGAGTTAATAATATTCAAATCTCAAATCAAGATCAAAATTATTATACTAATCAGCAACGCCATTATCGAAACCCAATCCAACAACATCGACATCAACGTCAATATCAAGTTCAAGATCCGTCTCAACAAAATGCACATTCCTTGCAAATGAAAATTTGTAATTATTGTAAGAAACAAGGCCATCTGATTTCAGAATGTAGAAAAAGGTTATATGTAAATAGTCAACGGGAGCGAGAACAACAAATCAATTCAATACGTAATAACACTCAACGAACAAATAACGCGGCCATTAATTTAAACTCGAACGAGTCCCCGGTGATGAACACCACAACGGAGGACCAAATATCTCAGTTAATGGTGTTCGAGAATTAAATGTTTCGATATCTAATAGTAATCTCGATTTTATTCAAGTCTTCTCTCCAAATTCGAAGAGTTCCGATAATGCATTTAAATTTTTAATTGACACTGATGCGAATGTCTCTCTGATTAAAGCTTGTAAATTAGATCCAAATACCGTTTTTGATTCAAAGGATAAATTGGTATTACATGACCTTAGTCAGAATAATCCTGTAGAAACAGTTGGAAGTTGTTATATCCCTGTACGATTTCATGATCATTTTATAAATGTTAAATTTTATTAGGGAAAGATTTTTTGGAAAGAGAATTAGCTACAATTGATTATGAGGCACATACTCTAGCTCTTAGATCAGTAACAGTTCCAATCCAATTAAGTTGTGAAAATTCCAAACATAAGGAATCATATTTAGTTAATCTCAAAGCTAGAACGGAAACACTTATTGAGATTCAAGTAAAAAATCCTGAAATAAGAGAAGGTATTATTCCAGAATTAAATTTAGGGAAAGGAATTTATTTGTCTAGAGCTATTACTAGAACAAATGAAAATAATAAAGCCTATGCTACAATTTTGAATACAAGAGTAATAGATCAACAAATAGAGCCTATTTCGTTATACTTAGAACCACTTCTTCAAGATTCTATGATTCTATCAGTGAATGATTTAAATAATGGTTTAGTATGTCGTAAACATCTTTTGAAGAAGAATTTAAGGTCAGATCATTTAAACTCAGAAGAACAGAAGTCAATACTAGATATTTGTATAGAATATAATGATATTTTCCATTTTCCTGAAGATACATTAACAAAAACAAATATTATTGAACACGGAATCAGTGTTACAAATTCTATTCCCATCAATGCTAAAACCTATAGATATCCGGAAGTCCATAAAGCCGAAGTTAATAAACAGGTTACAAAGATGCTTAAACAGGGAATAATACAATCATCTCTTTCTCCGTGGTCATCTCCTTTGTGGGTAGTCCCAAAAAAGTCAGATCCTTCTGGTGAACGTAAATGGAGAATTGTCATAGATTATAGAAAATTAAATAATGTCACAGTCGGCGATGCATACCCATTGCCCAATATTGAAGATATCTTAGACCAACTTGGTCATTCTATATATTTTACTACTTTAGATTTAGTATCTGGTTTTCATCAGATCCCAATGCGTGCTTGTGATCGAGAAAAAACAGCATTCACGACACCCTTAGGCCATTATGAGTTCACAAGAATGCCGTTTGGACTCAAGAACGCCCCCGCTACTTTTCAAAGGCTAATGAATACCATTCTAACTGGCTTACAAGGAATTCACTGCTTTGTATATATAGATGTATATATAGATATTGTTATTTATGCATCTTCTGTAGAAGAACATTCTAAAAAATTAAAAGCTGCTTTCAATCGTCTTAGAATAAACAATTTAAAATTACAACCCGAAAAATGTGAATTTATGCGACGAGAAGTTGCATACTTGGGCCATAAAATATCAGGTAAAGGTGTTCAACCGAATCCGGAAAAAACTAGTACAATAGAAAATCACCCAATTCCTAAAAATCAAAAAGATATTAAAGTTTTTCTGGGTTTATTCGAAAGGCTTGCTATTGATATAGTTGGCCCTCTTTCACAGACTATCAATAATAACAGATTTATACTAACTATGCAAGACGATTTAACTAAATTTTCTTATGCTGTTCCTATACCGAATCATGAATCACAAACAGTTGCCGAGGAATTATCTAAATTCATTACATTATTCGGGATTCCAAAAACCATACTTTCCGATCAAGGAACCGACTTTACTTCTCGTCTAATGAAAAATTTAACTATGTTGTTTAACACAAAGCATATATTATCCTCTCCCTACCATCCTCAAAGCAATGGTGCTCTGGAAAGGTCTCATCTGACTTTAAAAGATTATCTTAAACACTATATCAATGATAAACAGTCAGATTGGGATGAGTTTATAATTTTTGCTATGATGGCTTATAACACTCACATCCACAAGTCCACCGGTTATTCACCGTATGAAGTTCTTTTTGGAAACAAACCATATTTACCCAAAAGCAGAACTCAGGAACCCTCGCTGAATTACTCATATGATGATTACGTAATCAATTTAAAACAAAAGTTAAACTATACGCAAAAGATAGCAAGAGATAATTTGATTCGATCTAAACTAAAATCAAAAGTTTATTATGATAATAAAATCGTTACTCATTTGTACAAGATTATTGACATGGTATATATTTTAAATAAGCAAAATAAACCAGGATTGAATAAAAAACTGTGTTCAAATTTTAAAGGCCCTTATAGAATAATGAAAACTAATTCCAATAATACTGTCCAAACATTAAAAAATGGAAAATTAATAACATACCATACTAATTTGCTGAAACCATCTGTTTCAGGTGATCAAGATGATTAACCTGCACTATCTCCTATTTATACTATTTGTAATCCTTGTCTCAATTATGCCTAAACATTCCTTGGAAACCAATAGATCCTATTATAAAGTCTTCCAGTTACACAATCAAGTAGGTTTATATTATAATCATATAGGTAATGTACATTTAGCTAACTCTAAGTATACTTTATTAACGTACGTTGATCTTGCCATAGCCACTCAACAATATGATCAAGTATTCAGATTTTATACAAAATCTTTAAATATATGCACACAAAAGCCGATCCGAACTATAAACAGCGTCAATACGCACTTCTGTCAAAACTCTTGAAATAATAAATTCACGCATTTCAGCGATTAGGGAAAAAATTGAAATTATAAATTATATGATAGATAATAAAGTAAATTCAGGAAACAATATCTCTAAAAGAGGATTATTTGATGGTACATCTTATGTGTTACATTGGTTGTTTGGTACGCCTGATGCTAAAGAGGCCAAGTTTTATGAAGAAGCAATTGAATCATTTATTCGTGACCATAAGAATATACAATTGTTAATGAAGCAACAAATAGCTGTAATAACTAATACCATTCAGAATTTTAACGTATCTATTCAAAATCTCAAAGCTGACGAAGATAAGCTCAATGAAAATATAAAACTATTCAATGATTATTCAAGTTCAACCTCTAATCTTTTGAATGATCTTTATGTACGACATGTAATCTCAGAACAGATATTTTCATTATCTCAAATTGTTTCAAACCTCGATGATTACTATAATCTTTTAATTTCATCTGTAACGTTGGCAAAACACAAAATATTACATCCACAAATAATATCTCCTCAAGATCTTTTTAATGAAATGAGTAGTGTTACTTTGAAAATGGACAGAAATGGCCTATACCGTTAATGTACTCCAACATGAATATATATAGTGAATTGAGTAAGCTAGATGTTTCATATATTGATAACAAATTAATTTTTGTCATTAAAATTCCGTTAATCGAAGAATTGTCTTATAATTTATATGAGACATTATCTCTTCCAGTTCCCCATAATCATCCTGATATTTACTCGTACATTGAACCTAGTTACCCTTATATCCTACTGAGTACGGACAAGGTGTATTATACACAGCTTCAAGGTTTGGACAAATGTACCAAGGTCGATACTCAGGAATACATCTGTCTTATCAACCATGTACGAAGAACATCTGGTCAACCAACATGCGAAGCAATCCTGCTTACGTCGTCTGTTCAAAGAATACCGTCATCCTGTAACACCCGCACAGTTCAAGCTGATTTTGAAATTTGGCACTATCTCCAAAATAATGAATGGTTATTCATTATTACACAACCATTGGAATTGACATTATTATGTTCATTTTCACACATCGAGGACGTTAAATTAAAAGCTACTGGAATTATTCAAATTGAACCGCAATGCAAGGGTTACACACAGACTGCTGTCCTGGAACCTGTGCAAGATATCATAAAAAATCGTAGTCACAAATCTATAACATATAACATTGCAGAAGATGATTGTTGTTCAACAGATTTCGCCAACTCCACCATCATACCTGTACGTTTATCATCGATTAGAACCACTAGCACCAAAGAGTACAATTGTTTCACCCACGGGATCACAACAATACATACACTGTTCTTTAAATCCAAACACAATTGAAGTATATATACTTTAACATACCTTTAAATGTGTTGGAAGATTTTTAGAAGATCGCCGCACTGTATTTTTTTGAATCTCTATTGTTTGCTAAAAATATTAAAGTTCATGTAACGACACAATATAGAGAACCAACGCATGGTAGTATGTATATAATCTAATTATATATTAACCTCTTCAGAGACACGAGTCATTATAACTAAGGAAAAGAAAATTTTTACGGCTATTATACCACAATTAAGTCCATAAAAATGAAAAACTGAACGTTACAAATTGTTTATAATCTTTTCTATATAACTTCACAATTATTCGTTGTCCAAGTTTTGCCGCTAATTCTATACTTGTACAAGTGAGCCCAGTGATGCCAGGACGTGGGATAATCCACTGGGATTTTCTCCCACATGGGAGCCTTCGTGCGCATGCGCATGCTGACGTCACAGCTCGACGGCGGTTGTTTCCATGGATGTATCTATGTGCAACAGTAGGTACGCGTAAGGGGCCCTTCCCAGTTGTTTCCCGCGTTTTTCGTTAAAGTGAAGGTGAGTCGCGTAATGTTATATAATATATTGAATTGTAGTGCAATATTAGTGTATTACAGTGACAGAAACCAGAAGATGGATTACCAGCAGCCTAGTTCGAGTGGATTGGCGGATAAGAAGAGAAGTAACAAAGGGAAAGTATTCCAATTATCTTGGCTAAAGAATAATATTTTCAAAGACTGGTTAAAATCTGATAATAATAAAAAAGCTTTCTGCACGGCTTGCAATAAAGTCTTGGCATGCGGAAAATCAGAACTTATTAGACATTCGCGGACTCAATTACATATTAAAAATACAAGCAAAAGCTGTGATATCACACCATCTGTTTTATTACCAAAAGTTGATAGTAATTCTGATTTGGACCATGTTAATAAAGTCAAAACAGCCGAAATAAAGTTAGCTGCGTTTTACGCGGAGCACAATATAGCTTTTCAAACAATTAATCACATGGTCCCTTTATTAAAGGAAACCTGTTCAGATCCGCAGGTGGTTAAGGATCTAAAATTGTCACGAACTAAATGTACGCAGATAATAAAAAATGTAATAGGCAAACGCGAAAGCGATAAGCTTATTACAGAATTAAAAATTCAGAAATTTTCAATATTAATTGATGAAAGCACGACTATATGTTTTATATATAATGTTCTTGTTTGAATACTAGTAAGGTTTTCTGCAGTTTTTCTTACTCTCGCAACAAATGTTTGTATTCATGTAATAAATCGGCTGCAGATGTACAAAATAATAAAAAAATATATATTCATTTATTTCCATGTAAATATGTTATTTCTTTTAAAAATATCCTCTTCCTGTAATTTCTACCGTATTTCAATTGTCACGGGGGTCTAACGATACCCCATATTTGAGTGAAGTATATACGTTACTGAGGATTAGGTAGTGCGCATGCGTGGGAAAAATCCCACGTCCTGGCATCACTGGCGTGAACAGTCAAGAAATCCTGTTCGGATCCCAATGCGGCGGTTTTACTTTTTATTTTTAATTATTTTATAATTTCACTTTGTAACCTCTAAGTAAAATAAAAAAGTTAAAAAATATTGATTCAGGAAGCATTTAAAAAGAAGAAAATAAATGTTTTCCACTTCAATGTCTAAATTTTTTATTATATACATACATATTATGTTGTATACACATAAATTATTTTTACAATTAGATGTTACCCGCTAAAAACCGCTGCAGCTGGTCCACGTATATGCCGAATGGTCTTTTGCTTTTCTCCATATGAAAAGAAAAAAACACAATTGAAATAGTAATTTTAATAACATAAGATAAAATATTAAGATTGCTATGAACTTATTTTTTTTTTGTTGAATTATTCTGTAATTTCGCTTCCTCACTTTTGAGTAGAAGTTTCGCAGCAAACGAAAGTAACGAAGTACGATAGTCTTTTAAAACTATTTAAAATGTGCCTCATTGTAATATTTTGGAAATTCCTTTATTGCCGGAAATTTTCTTTATTGACAGAAATTTCGACGGCTAACGGTAATGAATTTCTAAAAGCTATTTCAACGGTAAGGGACTTTTAATATAATATTAAAATATTATAATTAAATACATTATACATAATGAAACAATAACGTATTCGACGACGTCTACGATGGACCTAATTAAAAGGTCCCCATGGTCCCATTCAATAGTTAAGGACAAATTTACATATTTAAGAAAAACTTTATTTACTTATGTTGCAAAATCAAAATTAGGAAATGACACTCTTCCGAAAGTCAATTTTATTCATAAATTATTACGGAAGATGTTGAAAATAATCTTGTGCCTCTATGCGTCTCTTTACGCGAGAAATCGCAAAACAAAAATTAACTGTGAGACAGGCCGGCTTTACGTCGGACGCTCTGTTTTGTGACAGCAATATGTTATACACTTAATCGGAGAGAGATATGTATATACATTTTTTAAGTCCGCAACATCTTTTTAAATTCGATGATATAAAAATAATAATAAGGTAAGATGATAGTCGATTGTTAACATTTATTAAATTTAATCAACTTGTATGTTAGGCCACCAAAGATATAAGTACAGGGTATTCATCGTAACGGTCGCCACAATTTTTCGGACATTTCTCATAATCTTACAAAAAAATGTTATGAACAAAAGTTAATCTGTACTCAATATGCAACAAATTATAAAAAAATTTGTTCTTCAATAAAAAATTCACCTTCACTTTTTAAATGGCACCATATAATTTTGTCTATCCGGTAAGTACTGTTAGGTGACACCGAGGTAAATTCAGCAATGTCATACAGAGTTGTTTCGCGGGTGTGATAACCCATAAAAAGGTTCTTCATATCTTGAAAACCATTTACATTTAAAATTAATAGATTAAAACAGATGTAGTATACAACAATTTTTAATTCAGATGCTAATTAATTCTGTTCCTTTTTACTTATAGCACTGATTATTAAATTATTTAAAATTTAAGGAGTTTGTAAGAAAGAATAATTTTTTTTTTACTTCGTTTTATTATCACAGCTGACATTTATGCAATAAATTCATAATTATAAGGAGCATATTGATAATTACTGAAAACATATTTGAATACATTATTATATTTTCAATATTATAAATTTCGTACTTATAATAATTATTACAAAATATTAGCTTAATTCAACACAGTGAATAGTAATATCAGTTGCAATAGTGTAAAAAGCTTAACAGTAAATTTCTAAATCGTCTACACTATACACCATTTTCTGTTAAATATCTTTTTGGAAGATTGTAACAATGATATCACACTTTTATATTTTGAAAGAATAGTGCAACGTTATACTAGAAATTAACATTAAGTATTTAATATCATCAATATAACGATATAAAGAAACACGGAACCCTTACAACTAAATACTCTAAGTAAGATGCAAACACCTCATGTTAAGGAGGAGTAGTTCAATTTATTATTTTATTACAAAGCATCATTAGGTTCTGTCTCACTCAAAGTCGCTTGTTTAAGGGGAGCAAAATCTGCTTTCCATACATGTTCTTTGCAATGTTCAACAGCCTTGAAAAAAAGATCGGATAATACACACGTGTTTTACATTGTTTTCATGTAGTAATTTTAAATTATCATTTACTTACTTTACATTCGTGGGCAGTTTCGTTACTGGAACACCAATAAGCAGGTCCCCATGTGCACTGCTTTATACGATTTTTCTCATACGAACGCTTGATTCGTGAGCTTTCCATAGATACCATTGAATAATCCGATGCTGCGCAAAGACCTATTTTACTGCATATTTTATTTTTTTTAGTATTTTGTTGTATAAGATTTATTATACTTTGGCCATAAATATTAATCATATCAGTGCACTAAAAATAATTAAGCATTAGAATACAATATAGTAATTACGAAGACAATATAATTATATCGATAAGTCCTTGTACCGTGCTTTGTTTACTGGCTGGTAAATATTTACATGCTTTGGCTACTGCATTTTTAATACTATTGTCAACCTTATCGTTTCCCAAAAGCTCGTTGATCACCGATATGGCTCCTTTGCACACAGCACATTTTGTTACCGAGGCTATAAATGTAAGGAAAAATAAAATATAAAATTTTTACTGTAAATATAATTAGATTACATATGTATATAATATTTCAAAATACCAGCAAACTCCTCTTCTGCATATAATGTGCAAAGTCCCACGAAAGTACAAACTTGATGAGGACTGATATCTTTTGTAACAATATCTATTATAGTACCAGCAAATTTCTCAACGAATTTATTACATTCCCGAGAAATAGTTTTTGGAAGATGTTTGCACACATCATGGACTACTTTTTCAACTTTTTGCTTTGATTTATCGTTACCAAGGGCTTTATCGACATGGCGCATAGCAAATTCGCATACAATACAAGTAGTGCTCTTTTGATTCTCAATCGACATATCATCGTCGAATGAAACTACGTCTGGTATTTCATTAGTCACTGAAATGAGGAATACAGTTCTTTATAAAATTCTACATAAATTCTGTAATCGTACATTGTATTTTTTTTTAAAAGGTTCTAAGGCGATATACTGTCTGTGTAGTAACTTAAATACATACAGATTTCGCCATTTTTATCCGTAACGAAAACTTCTTTCGGTCCAGAGTTTTTAGTAGGATCACACAATTTAATAAAAACGCATACTTCTTGAGGTGTCAAATCCGCAATTATCAGTTCTACAAGTTCTTTACTGTAACCCTGCACTAAGTCCATACATTCTTGGGTCAGACTGTGAGGTAAGTGAACACACAGTTTATCTAATGCAGCTTCTATGTTAGCCTGCAACAAAAATTATACAAATAAAAATAATAGTATCTTTAGTGATATTATATCGAAAAATTTGTAAATAATAAGACACTAGAAACTGAAAGTATGCTCTAACCTGTGTCTTGTCGTTTTTAATAACATTATACACCTGTGATACAGCCAGTAAACACAATGGACAACTAGGCTTATTCTTTTGTTGTTGAAGCACATATTCCGCTGGAACACTTTCCCAAAATTCTATGAACTTTTCAGAAGGACACAGATGCAGCATTGGGCACACCTAAAAATTATTTTATCTAAAATTTTTGTTGTCACTATAATACTGAGCATGTAATAAGTTGTACACTAACTTGAGATGGATCAACTTCTTGAGCTAATATGGCAACAATAGCGTCTCCGTAAGTATCTACGAATTCTGTACATTCACCTTTTATAGATCCTGGTAATTTTTTACATACTTTTTCGATTACTTCTTTCACTTGGTCCTGCATTAAAATTAAAAAAATTTACTCTGATGCACCATGTCTTTATGTAATTCTTTTTTCTTTGTTCAGTTATGAATATTTTTAAAACGCTTACATCTGTAGTAGGATTTGTTAGAGCATCTTGAATATAATGCAATACATATTCGCAAAGTGCACATGATACTTTTCCACCCACCGGAGCCTCTGACAAGGGAAAAGGTAACATTCTGTCAATAGGCAATTGCATTGCTTCGATTTCGGATTCACGTAATTCTTCAGACTTTTCAGTTTCCTTATTCTTCTTCGATTCCTGGAATGTCTGTGCACTTATTTCTGCTAGATTCAGAGGTAACAAAGGCCAAACTGGTTCACTCTGTATATTAAATTTGAAATTAATGCTATCTATAAATAATGCCATATTACTATTTTGTTTGTAAAAGCAATTATTCACCTCCAGTGATTTTCCAGGAGCAGGACATATTCCAGACATTTGACAAACAGCAATACTGTTCAGACCTTTCGTGAGATATTCATAAATTTGCGGGTAATATTCATCGACAATAGCAATACACTAAAACAAAATACACATCATTCACAAGTAATCTTACAAACAAATATAATTAAGTAACATATAACAGACTGCTTACTTCACTCGAAAATGATTTTGTTTGTCTACAAAATCCATCCAACACTTGGCGGAATTCTACTTCTGTTGTATTAGCTACTAGTAGATCTCTTAAATGTCCAACAAGTTGTTCGCACAATTTGCATGGAAGATCATCGCTTACATCGACCATACCAACACTTGACAATGGTCTAATTTCTACATTTGGGGTCTAAAATTTATTCCATACAGTTAACTTGATTAGAAATGCTATTACATCAAAGTTGCAAATCTTTCTGAAACTCACCTTATCTGTGTCTTCATGTTTGTGGAACTGTGCAGTACATTGACCGGATAAGTGGCAGATGTTCTGAGCATTGAAGTTCTCTTGTAAATGAGCATACATAGTATCAAAATAGGTCAAAATAATTGCTGAACAAGCATCTGTGTAACTGCTGAGGTCGGTACACAAATTGAGCATTTGTTGTAACACTTGGTCACGTGGTGTATTATTTAATTTATATTCCATATGTGCTGCAACTGTGTGGCATTTTGTGCATTCAGCAGGTTCAATCTCGTCTTTTTCCAATGAATGGAACCTTACATTGGCAATCTAAAATATAATACATACAAAGTATATTATATCATAAAATGACAAACTAAGCAGACAAAGATATATGTTTCAATTATTTATACATATATATTATGTTTCATTTACCTTACTTGTAGATTGCTCATATTCCTTTAACAATTTGTCAATATGAGCAGAATTACAAAGTCCAGCTACTGAACATACAACAGATGGATTCATTTGTGATGCCAATGTTTCAACCAAGTCCGGAATAAATTCATCGACAATCGATATGCATTCCTTTACAATTGGTTTAACATGAATTAATCGGCAGCTCCCTTCAAACACAGCTTTCAAATCTTCCTGAGTTTGATTGCTTTGTAGCTGATCACGGGCCTGTTGAACCATGTCTTTGCAAACGCTACAAACATTGTCATTATCCTCTGGTACATTCATGCCTGTCCATATTGTTTTAATGCAGTGTTTAGTTGCATTACATCCTGCTGCAGTTCTGTATTTGCATTAAATAACACATGTTAACATTACTCTAATATGTATTTATCATACGTAATAATATTAAAATTATAAATTATATTAATGCAACTAATATATCCTACAGTAAGGAACAATATTTTATTAAACTTACTTAATGTTTTCACACCAATATGATGGACCCCATGTGCATTCTTCTTCACCCAAAAGATGAAGACTAGTTGGTTCCTCTGCATTAATCACCACTCTAGCTGTAGATACTGAAATAATATTCATATTTGTATTACCCATTTACAAAAATATATCTTTATTAGTTATTGGAATTATTTGTTTACTAATAAATTAACAAAGTATATACTTTTATTAAAAGGAAAAGAGGAATTAACAACATGTATTTATGATTTGAAGTAATGTAAAATTACTAAACTTAATATATACATGAATAACTGTAATGTAATGTAGCGATACTCTTGTTAAACACAAATTATTCCATGGCAATTGTGCAGCGCTGACTCATCTTATATATCTGATCAAGCAAGCCTCATCTTTTCTGAGTAATAATAATGTGATTATTAGCTGGAATAACACAGGAAAACTGGGCTATTAGTAAGCTAATAAGCACGTAAAGTAGCTAGGTATAAAAGAAATAATCTATACAATGTTATGGTTCCAAGGTACAATAACAGTATTACGTACTATTGATAAGATTTCAGTAAATGCAGCGTAAAAAAGTAACGTTCCAAATTCTTGAAAATAAAGTAAAATAAAACTTACAAGAAAGTACGGTACAGCGTATAAAAAACTGCGCCATGGACAAAGACAACATCTAACTTGAATGCTCAATAATCGCGATACTCACCAGCTAGAATCGCGCTAAGCGCGATGAATATCTGCATGTTTATTACTTTTCTTCCCAATTCCGCTGTAACAATCGAAAAAATAGTAAACGTTAGATTCCAATGAGGTTTCTTTGTTACTTAATTATCCACAATGACGTGTTAGTTACCCTTGTAGAAGGTCCCGGAAGATCGTAGTTGAACGGGAATTACTGACAGATTGTTTAACAGCGCTCCGCCAGAAGCTACTGTCAAATGACTGTTCCTAGCGTTTATACGCATTCTTTGACTGATGCATTCTCTCTTTCGCTCTCTTTCTATTTTCGATGACGACCAATAGTTGTTTCGCAACGTTCGTCACGTGGTATGCACCTCCACCCTTTTCACTGCGTACATGGAAACTGATAGTACCTCGATGCATTCTTAAAATGTGAAGCATCTGAAACTTTTCCTCAAAGTGGAACTGCAATTACACACGACTATTTTTTCTCGGTGAAAAGATAAGGATAATTATGTTTCGTAGTTAACGATTGTTAAGATTAATTTTTTGTTGAAGTAAACAGTGGCGTCATCTGCCGGTGCAAAAGTGAGAAAGTGCAGGACAGAAGAACAAATGTCCTCGTGATTACATATTCATGGCATCGTGACTTCTCACCAAATGTACATTATCGCATGATTTTCGAGAAAGAGAGAGAAGAACAATGGGAGAAATCATTTCCTACGGAGCGGGAAAAAACACTATCGGCAAATATTATGTATGGCACTAATATGACAACAATTGATAGACGAATTTCTGATAAAGTAACGCTTGATCGATAGTCTGTTTTGGTTTTCTTTGTCACGGCTGGTCACGCCAGAGTAAGAGTGTATGTAGATGCAGACAAAAAAGCAATCTCATATTACAATTTCTTATTGTTTTACCGAATTAAGGAGAGTGTAAAAATAAGATTTATCACGTGAGGTTACATCCGTATATAGAATTGTAGGTCTCGATACAGGCGTGATTCAACATCTTAAGTGTAAAATATCGTAGGCGCCTTTTGATATCAGTTATCGTGACAGTATATTTTCGTTCATGGACTATCTCTGCCGTAGTTTAATATAAACTTTTCTTTGTTTTTGTTTTTATAAATATAGATAATATTACTCCTCTTTTTTTTGTGAAAATATTTACATAATAAACATGAATTTTCATAATAACATTTTAGTAACTGTAATATGTACATGAAAACATGAATTCTTCGCTTCTGTTTTATCATTTCACACTTACATAGCTAGTGTGAGAGTGATTTACTTGCACAATAAAATATGTGAATTGATATTGTAATATCGCGTATTCGCTTATTACTAAATAGTGTAATGGTTTTGTCAATTACAATAAACCAAAGTGTTCCTATCACCCGTGCACTGAATTATGTCTTTGAAATTTTTAAACTCAAGGTTACAATTTGATCGCGCCGAAATACATATTTTACATTTTCTATGATACTACACATAAGTCATTATAATATGAATCGTCGCATCTGAAATTGCAAGAAATTATGCAGTCGATGCTGCTTTTGTTTTGATAAGCGGGTATTTAAGACCAGTAAGTATCAAATTTCAAACATGAGGTCGAAGAATATGCTCTGGTTCACACATTCGCTTCAAAAGTTTGGCATAGTGAAATAACCTACAGAAATGTAAACAAGGAAGTCAAAGTTCGTCTCTGTTTGGGAGTTGAAGGACACCAGTTAGTTACAAATGTGTACATGTATGTAGCGTATACGAGCATCAAACAGAACACAAAAACGAAATCACACAGTAACGTTGTCTAAACGGATTATTACTATCACAATAGATTTGAAAAGCTTCCTGTGATAAATTCCGTATAGAAACACTCGTAGAAAAGAAATATGATGAAACATGCAACGTTTTATCGTATCTCTACTGTTAAACTGATTAGATGTGATAATTAAAATCTATAGAGAAATTTGCTTTATATTTTTTTAGTAGATTCAAGTAGCACTGATGAAGATCATTAGTTGCAATAGAAACTTAATATCACCTGACCGTAATGACATCGCGAAAATTAATTAAATCAAATTGCTGAATGTGTACCACCTTTATTTTAGATGTTAAGAAAAAAGCCAACTGTTTGCAATAATTAGTGTGAGATAAGATCGAATATGTCTGATTTTTGCAAACTCTTTCTTTTATAAAATGTTTATTTTCTTCATACATGAATGTTGAATTTCGAATTGGATTACACAAATGAATTTTAATTGAGCATTTGGGTTACAATATGAAACTTGTAAAATTGATCAGAAATGTTTACTATAGTTACTATATACAGTATAAGATCACATAAAAATATAATCGTAAGCTAATTATTCACGCGTATACTATACGTTTCTGATATACGATATTACCTACTTTGTATAAATTTGTTTATGAATGTGAAATAAAATAAATTTCAAGTTCCTAAAATCACAGACGAGATACTCCCAGATAGCACATGACGCCTTAAAGACGGCTTAAGGGGTTATGCCTACTTATAAATTGTGAAAAAATCGATTTTTGGATTTTCATATTTTCTTACAGTACATCATTTTAGAAATATTGTGTGAAAGTTTGAAGTTGATCCGGCAAAAATTAGCGGAGTTACTCCCGTTTAAAGTATACGGCTTTGGAAGTTTCGGAGCAGATATAAAGTGGTAGAAAGTAGAATCCCTTTCTAGGGATGCGTGAGTCATCAATACTGTGCCCCAATGCAATTTATAAAATATAGTAAATTAGTTTTTCAGGATAGTGAACGATCGGGCACTAGATAATTTAATATATTAATTAAATTTGCTCGGATTTTTTATTTCAGATAAACGAACTCGAAGTTACAGTGGTCACCGCAAAACGCTTAAAATAAAAACGCCGCCGGGAGATCGCGGATATTTCCTCTATTTATTCATATTTTCCATTGACGAAATTATTATAAGCACTTTAAAATGTACACTTTCGAATACAATGACGTATGTTCAAAAAACTCTTCACGTTTCTTAAAAATAAATTCCGAAAGTACATGTCTTTTTTCGAGTTCGCAGGTAGGCATAACTCCTTAAAGGCGTCTCAGATTTAAAATAATCGAAAACGGGCGTTTTGCAGGCATTACGTGCTATTTGAATAGGTGACATATGTACACAGTCTGTTCATACACGTTCATATGTACAACCACCGAGTAGGTATAGGATAGACCTATCATCTTATGGTACTTCGTGTCTCATGTTCTAAAATACCGATCGTGTAAAAAATCAGGGATTTTCTGCTGTCCTCTACGTTATGAGAACGGTGAATTTGTGAACTACATTAAATCATTCGAGCTCAACTAGTTTAATTGGCACCAGTCTGTCAACAGCCAGTAGAGATGGCGTGCAAAATCACTAACGGTGATTTATCTCAGTGAACCAATGTAGATTCCGGGAATCGGAGACGTCACGGCGTGCGAGCGAGAGCGGTAGAGCGAGTTGCGGTATCGGTGCTCTCCGTCGGTGCCGACGCATGCCGGATGGTGCCGGAGATGGCCGGAGCGGTTGAACGGGAGAGAGCGAGCCGCGGTATCGGTGTTCTCCGTCGGTGTGACGCGTGCCGAGGAAATTCAGTGGCTGTGGGGGGAGGTGTGCGAGTGAGAGAGTACGGTAGAGCGTGCTGCGGTACGGTGCTCTCTGTCGGTCCAACGCCGACTACACTGTCTGGACTATACCGACAGATTTCGACAGTTGCACGAGCAACATTAGATCAAGCTCGAGAGTTGTACGAGCAACAACGATAAACGGTCACGTTTCAAAACTCTTGCTCATGTTCGGGGGTTTTATGACCTCACTTCCTACACATACGGGGTCTCTGGCGCCGTCACCGGGGGCTCTATGACCCCACGCTCTCACCAGACGGGGTCACTGGCGCCCTCTGTGGGGGTTCTGTGACCCCATACTTCACCTCACGCGGTCTCTGGCGTCTCCGCTTGGGGTTCTGTGACCCCACGATTTCATCACACGGGTCACTGGCGCCTTCACCGGGGGTTCTATGACCCCACGCCTCAACCCACGGGGTTTCTTACGTATATGTTGCCATTCATGTAATTTTTAGAATATTGATATAAATTTATGAATCGAGGTTATGGTTTCACAAGTTTCGAGGTTGTTGATACAAAAATAAATTAAAATATTATTTATATTAAGCAAATGAATTATGTGCTTATTATTGTACTTATTTATACAGATTCCTTTAAGAAGAAATAAAGTAATAGGAATTAGGAGGAAGGTGATGATGGGATTAATGAACAACGCATATGTACCGTTTTATTGTCTTTTATTTAAACAATTCTATAGAAATATACAGTTTACAATATAAGATCACAAAGAGACATACAATTAAAATTATCGTATAAGATAATATGATTATCAGCATTAATGGAATTTGCATTATTCCGACATGCTGTTGTGGTACGCATGGAATTTTGACATTCATTTTAAGTCCCATTCATTTTTGTAGCAGATTGAAATACTCAAAGTCCCATAAATTTCAATGTCATTCCAATTTTGAAAGTGCTACATACGGTTCTCATATCTGTACAAAATGTTCAGTTTGTTTCGTTTCATAATTATTCATGGAAAAACCAGTAGTCTCACTATACTTATATGTACATGTAATACGATTATACGTACTGTTGCGAAATTAGATTCAGAAAAGTGCCGGAAAAATTTGGGCATTTATGGGACATTTATGGGAAAATATGAGATAGTTGTAGTGATAGACTCAATAAACAACACATATGTACCACATAACTGTTTTTTATTGAAAAAATCTGATGAAAATACACAATTTACAATAGTATTTGAATAAATTTCACAATTGCCTTAAATACTATTTATATATATACATATATACGAGTTTACAATATATTTGTAACAATATGTGCATAAAATCAGTAAAACATGGCTTAAATATTATTCAGACTTATAACAATAAAAATAATTACTTGTTCTGTAAATTGTAAATCTTCCGTACGATGTTCGAAGCTTCATATGGAATAGTTTCATACATTTGTCATCGAAATTTCCATTCTTGGGGACATACGATAGATGTCGGACTCCTATGGAGGGGTTGCGAAGCAGGACACATCACGAGTCACGAGTCGTGATTCACGACATATTTGTGTGTGAAGAAAATGATAGATACGTGCTCTCATTCACACATTTCACCCACCACTGCGATATGCCCGCATGCTGCACGTTGTTACCCGCTAGTGAGTTTGGCGGGCGCTGAGTTGCCAATCACTGTTATAGATCATTGACTCTCTCGTAAGATCGGTTCGCGGAGCAAGTACCGAGCAGATATTGATACGTGGAGAACATTATGGAATGGAAAATCTAAGTAAAACATGGTGACCTTCATGAGCGTAGCCAGGGGGGACACTTGCCTCCCTCCTCACTGAACGGAAAAAAATGGCTTTTGCCCCACCATACAAGAAAACAAATGGATTTTGCCCCCCACACCGTTCCCAGAGTTACAAAATTTTTGCGCAATATTTAATATTGCAGAATAATTTGAAACACGACGAACAGCCTCTATTAACACAACGCATCTTACATTTTCAACGATTTATGACTTTAAAAACAAAATAAAGTGTGTCTGGCTACGTACGGCCTTTTTCACTGTGGCAGTCGATATGTTAATATTTTTGCCCCCCTGACTGATAACCTGGCTACGTCCATCGTGACCATGCTGTCCTCGAAAAAATTATCAATTCAATCTTTTTTCCGATCGACTATGTTCCGAATTACTCAATCCTCGATAATTAAGGAGAAAAAGTAAGCACGCGAGTACGTGCTTCTTTATGATTAATAGTTTGTACATACAGTAAGAGTAAAAATTAAGTATATACCTTACACAGGTGAGTATTCGTGTAATATTTCTGTTGCATCTTACTATTGTAAGAACATGGCAGTAATACAGTTGGATATGGTTTTTCTTAACATTTTTGGGATGAATAGGCAGCCACAAATTCGAGAAAAAGAAACTCCAAGCAAAGTGTGCAAAGGTGGTTAAAAATTGTATGCTGGAAAACACTTTCAATCAGTTAAGTCTTCCTCAACAGTAATTAGATTTGATTTAATAGAGTATTTATGCGAAGTGTTGGATTCTAAATTGAGAGAAATAAATATGAATAAATCCTGTACTTTTAAAATGTTAACAAGGTAATACACCCCCATTATTTACGGTATTACAAATAAGACAATGTAACGCAATTTTTTTTAAATACTTCGATATTCAAATTACCAACAGTATTCCAAATATAAGTGAATTTCCTTTAATGATAACTGATGGCAAGGGTAGCTGGAAATAGCAAATTCTTAGTGATAATGTATCGAATAATTCAGGAATAAAAAACAAAATATTATCTGTCATCACATGTACTTACGCTAAAATTTCGAAAAACTCTACATCGATTAGTATCGATTTTGATATACTGGGAGGTATACTGTTATCTCGTGAAATTATACCGTTATCTCTTACCCCACTGACGAGACTAGTTTCCCACTGTGGTTACGTGAATGTACAATTAGGTACGGGAAAATGATTCTGCTCACGATGAGATTTAATGATACTTGAAACAGCACAGAAGTCAGTCACGCTGTGTGTACAGTGGCGAACACTTCCCATCCCTGTACTCCTCTCTTACTGACGCGCGGACTCGTAGGTGTGCCACGTCGAAGCCTTGTGCGTCAATTACGTTCTATAATAGGAATTCTCTAGCGTCATTCGTTAATTCACCGTGTTTCTCCTTGTTACGCGTAAGTAGCAAAAACAAAAGAATACCAGACGGTGATTATCTGTGTGTAGAGGGTTCATAGAATATTTAAATAAAATGTGTGAAGTCTAGTACCGTCGGTTGTTGTGACTATTAGACCATAACGCTGTGTATTTTGTTCCGTATATTGCTTCGTGCGTTGTCATTTTACTTTGTTTATCCGACAGGGAACCTTGAAAGAGAATCGTATTTAACCGTATGCGTACCACGAGACACTTTCGCGCTCTTCAGATTTTGTGTTGAAAAACGCCAGCGCATTTGGCCGATACAGACAACTGACGGCGCGCTCACAATTTGTCGAAACGCGCTCAGCCTTTCAGGCGGATCGGTATGCAGTATCAGTACGCAGTAATCCAAGTAGTACATTTTGTTTTTTGTTGTTACCTATTATAAATTAATAGTATATATAATATTATAGTATATATAAAAAAGCTCTTCGGCTTTCTTCGACACGTAATCGAAGGAGCGCGATCGCGCTCCTTGGCGCTTTTCGATCGTGTTTTTTCAAAATCCTCTGGTACGCAAACGGTTAACACTAGAACTACCGATGATACACGCATATTTGCTTCGATCGGCGGATAAACGTGAAAAACTTTTGAAAATTTAAAAATTGACCAATTTCTTCACTTTCATATCGCAGTAAAAGGTGCAAAAGATCTGAGAAAATGTATTGTCATAACATTTTAATTGTCGTTGTAAGACTGTATTGACAAGTCATTTTAACTTGCTTGGTAGTTCTAGTGTTAATTTTACTCCGTTCAATTTATAGATTACCTATAATTGGACTGCGGATGTTTATGCATTTATAGTATTAGTCTGCGAACCAGTGACCTTTTTCCATAGGTCATTTGATTACAGCTGACAATTTCTGAGGCTTTAGTTAACTTAGTCAGAAATGAGAAAATCGTAGTTTGACATCTTGGACACGCTGCGTTTGGCGATATTATAGTGTCAAAGTTGTCAAAAAATTACAATACCTTTACGTCATTCGATTACGGCTGAAACTTATTTTGGTAATAGTTTAAGTACTAAAAAGTTATAAAACATTTGTCTGGCTGCCCATCCACGCTGCTAAAGTTACTACGTCTATGCTTGGCTAGTCAAGAATTTCTATATTTTTTATGTTATTTACTATTATCAAAATAAGTTTCAGCCGTAATCAAATGAGGGAAGGGTATTGTGATTTTTTAACAAATTTAACCCTTTGCCAGATAACTTTAGCAGCGTGGGTGGGCAGCCAGACAAATGTTTTATCACTTTTTAGTACTTAAACTATTACCAAAATAAGTTTCAGCCGTAATCAAATGAAAAAAGGGTATTGTAATTTTTTTGCAATTTTGACACTGTAATCTCGCCAAACACAGCGTGTCCAAGTTGCCAGACTACGATTTTCTCATTTCTGACTAAGTTAACTAAAGCCTCACAAATTTTCGGCTGTAATCAAATGACGTAAGAAAAAATTTCACTGGCTCCTGGACTATATTTTTTAACTTGGAAAATACAGTAAAGATTTTAATAAAGTTTAAAAGGTAATTTGTGTGTTATTACTAACGTAGTAAAGCTCCTACTGTAAAATGAAAAATTCTGTCTTATTTTAATTTTTAGATATTCGTAGCTAAAATTGCGAATTTGCATAAACTTCCATGGTCTAATAGTAACAATAACATGTTATGCACACAATCGGAACATTGACATAGATTTATTATTATAACATCGTCATGATTTTAAAATTGGAAAATTGACATAGATAAATTGTACCGAAGTTCTTGCACGCCCTTGTTGCTTTATCGTACACGATAAATTTTGCAGATAATAGAGTACAAGAGGGTAACTGTGCTTATGCAGTCATCGTAAAATTTATTTTAAATGTAATTATAGTTCGCAGTTACTTATCTTTTGTATGCCGTTCCGACAGTTTTCATTTTGTGATAAACAATGGATGACAAACGCCACATCGACGATGGTAAGCAACTTTGTGTTTTTATTCTACTAAGTGCTTGAAATGAACGACAAAGTTTGTTTATTCTACATCAATGCATTGATTTCTGCCAGTTCAAACATCTACGGTGGCCGAACACATGAAATTGATCATGGAGGATAGATCTACCATAGATCCGGAGTATGTTCCAGTCACTCCAGACGATTTACCTCATTGGATGGATAAAAGATTATTTAAAATGTGAGTAGAATCGAACTATCGACAAATCGATTAAGATTTACATAGAAATCTGGTCGCATGATATGGAATCGAGAATGTCATAATTATATTGCGGATTTTATGCATTTATAGTCTATAGGGTTCTGTGAAATACAATAAAGAACAAAACTTTCATCGGATCCGACGAGTTTTCTATTTTATTCTGAACCCAATAGAATACTTAAGAGGAAAAATAAATTTCTACGATTGCTCGTGCCTTTATAAATTACTTTAGAAACTCTTATTTTGCATAAAAATCCGCAGTCTAGTCCTAATACAAACGACACTTGTGAAAAGCTACACTAATTTTCGGGAGTAGAAAAAACAAAGATAATGCAGAGATTAATATGAATTTATTAATGACAAACCTGAATATATCATCTATTTTGCACTGATATTATTAAAATTTATCGTGGCCAAGTGGCAATATACAATAATCGTTGATTTTGAATAATCATCAAAAAATTAACAAAATGCTTATCTTAAGCGTTCTTTTCAACCGTCAGAAAGTATGCTTAACTTAATATTTAAATTCTGTTTTCACGAATGTTGCAGAGTTACGTAAGTATGTTTTCTATTTTTTCAATTTCAGAGGTCAAAAATATTACATGAAGAATATGCTGGGAGTTGCAGTCGCGAACATGACCGGTTTACTAGCAATATTATGCGTTCCCGATATAATCGAAGTAATTTTGCAGAACAAAAACTTGCATTCGTATTGTAAACGTATGCAGTGAAATGTCAAATATTTTTAACATTGTAGGTGCTTGAATACACGAAGAAAAGTGAAACGGTCTGTTTGTCCTTCAAACGATACGCCGAAACCGTGTTGCTCATATACGAGCTGTTCAAATCCGACATGTTGCACCCAAAATCGAAGTAAGTTTCTGTGCACATACAGCAGACTCCCGTTAAAGTGCTGCTCTTGGGGCACTACAGGCAGCCTTTTGCACGAAATAGATCGAAGGATCAATTACACCGTTCAACAAATATTAACTTTTTTCCGGACCCTTACTTTTTGAAATAAATTGAAAAATATCGGAAAAAATTGGTGCATTTCGGTTGTCCTTTTCCTTTTAACCGTTGTTTAAACATCATTTAATGAACAAATGCTTAATGGAATATCATTTAATGGAACCACATGTTTAAATGTTTATAATGGAATCACAATATATACCATTTTATTTGGGAGACTTTACAGAATATCTTGACGCAACAATCAACCGAATTTACTGTTCAATACAGGAAATGTTCGAAGTTGAAAATTTGCATGTTTCTTCAAAATCAAATTTCTTGAAAAATGTATTCAGGGGACAAAAATCCACAATAAATGGTCATTGAATGTTAGAAGTTGAAATAGTTGTTGAACAGTATTATTGGCGACATAAGGCGACAGTTCGCGCACGTGCGTGAATGATTCGTGTAAGCTGGGGCGTTCCTAACGCTATTTTAACCCTCCGTGTACGGTGCCGGAGTCACGCGGTCGCGAGAGCGATACGCAGACAGTGATGGTGCTGTTCGTTTAATTCGGGAACTGATCGGTATGTGACATTGTATGAAAACGGTCAGGCTAAGACGCCGCAGAAGTATTGACTTACGTTTTCGTATCACTCTACTTCCTTTTTTACTCGCAGTCCTTCCTTCTAGTCGACAAATCTTCTACAATGTCGGTAAGGCTTTCGAGATCGAGCCACCGTATTGAACCACTTTGTATTAGTAATCTATCGATGTGAGTTAGGAATGAGTACTCGGAGGGTTAAAGAGCAGTACTTTAACGCGAGTCTACTGTACGTCACATTGAGCTTCCTTACACAATTTCTCACACGGGTTAGATGAATAGTCATCTATCGTGTGTATTCAAGATGGTTCAAGGCACTAAACGTGATTCGATGGAAACACGCGTCAGCAAGTAAGAGACGCGTTAAACAGAGTCTGAACGCGATATACCAAAAGGACATGTCCATCACACAGTTCGGCTTTATGGGGTTCGTGCTTGTGTGCCCTGAGAAAACGGGACTGGCGCTCACTACACTCGAAGAACGAGAGGGTTTCAATCATTTCTGGCGCGTCACGGCTCACCTTCTGGGTATATCGGATCGGTAATTATATGGAAAAAGGAAAAGAAATTTGTCTTTGATACAATTACGAACCGATTGAGATTATTAATTGTTTTTATTCGATCGTTTCCCGTTGACGAATTCAATTTTCTAGGATGAACATCGCTCGCAGAACAGCGGCGGAAACGACAGAATTGTGCAGACGAATCGGAGACGAAATACTCGTGAAATACATGGATAAACCGTCACCAGGATTCATAAAACTCGGAAGAAATGCAATCGATGGTCTTTGGTATAACGACATGAGTCTGGACACAGATGCCTTCTTTGCGTTGACCTATGATCTAGCAGGATCGAAATGTTAGTCTCACTTAGAGAAATTGATATTCTTTTTCTTCCTTGTTTTTACAATAAAACTTTTTGTTTCTAGACCAGAAGCCTCTTGGATGGTACTCCTATTGCAATATGAAACAACGCGAGTGGTTATTATATTTTTGTAGTAAGTGACCCCCTTATTTAAGAAAAAATAAATAATAATACTAGATCTGCTTAGAAACCACAGAATAGGGACCGCTGATTCATGCAGGGTCTCCTTTTCAGGAACAAATTTATAAATTTTGTTACTTAAACAATTGATATTAACAATTAAGACTTCATTTTTTATTTTACGTCGATATAGTATGTGAATGTTCTAATTAAGTTGACATTTTTTGTTTAGATATTCCTTATATTGGCGCAGTGGTGAGGGTCGGTTTTAATTATACCTTAATGTTCCTTTATTGGGTACTTGAAAACTACCCTGTAGTCGCATGGATTGGATTCGGTAAAAAGAACGCACAATTTTGCGCCTATCCAACAATAAAGTGAGTTCGTTTCTGTGAAGAGACGAACGAGAGTTACGTAACTAGCGTTTACGTAAAGTATACTGTATATAGTAAAATTATTATGTTTTATGATTATGTAATTACAATTTGCAGTTGATAAAAGCGATACAGGATTTAATAATTTATAGTGCGGGCTTGTTTAATGTATTTTATGATAGAAACACATTAATATCACTGAAAGTGCGGTACAATTGTATAATATGTGTGGTTTCAATAAAATGTTTCAATGTTTTTAGATATATTCAGTTATAATGTATTACATTTCGTATTATGCGTAATTCATATTAAATATAAACAACTGTAAATATGTGCGATAAATAGTATAAAGTGGAGCAAAGAGTCAGGCATAAGAATATCAAATATCTTTAAGATGGTAAATCATATAAATCGAAAAGCAGCAAAATGTTAAAAATTGATATGAATGTTAAAAATGAGACGAGTACCAGTTAAAAAAATTGCGTTTGCCTAACTTGTGATAATGCCTAACTTTGTATTAAAATAGTACAATGTATATGTAATAAGTATATGGTTATATAGTTTTTTATTTGTGTATTGTATATGTAAGTAAAAAAGTATCGAATAATATGTACAGTATGTCTGGTTTAACTGTATACGCGCTATTATTTCTGTAACCATTGAAAATGCGCAAAAACGTTCCATATAAAAGTTATTTGATTTCATGGAGTAAACATAATAGAATATTTGAATTTTTTTCTTAACCGTTATGTGTGTAGATTTTAATAACAATGTGTGTTTTTTTAAAATAAACTTACATATTTTTATGATTTCCATGTTATTAAGCATTTCAAGACGAATTCAACGATATATTTGAATGTTCTGTTCCAAGAAAAATGTCTAGGATAATTGTATGAATATGTGCGTATATTCAGCCCATCTTATAGAGTAAATTATGGATGAGTGTTCGAAGACTCCTTGGCACTGAGTGTTCAGACCTCACCTTTACCACTGGGGTGAAGGTCCTCCGTGGAACCAGTCAAGCGCCCAGTGGGGATGACGCCCGAACATTCAGTGTCGAAGAGCCTGAATGGAAATGTGGCGATGTCACGTCAAAAAAGTGGGCCGAAAAAATACATTGGATGAAATGTCTACCCCTATACCTCGTCTGTGGTGATATATACGCGCTCTCACTCACACATTTCTCTCACTACTGCTATATTAAATCGTAGAATGGATTTTATTTATAACGGCAATCTTGACAAAGTCTGTAAATGAAACTGACTGCTTATTGAGCACCATCAGAATCCCCGTAATTATGTGAATTATCTGACATTATTGCAGCGCGTTCATGTAAATATGCATTACATAATGTACTCATCGTTAATGCGCAATTTTAAGGGATTCTCGAAGCACATCGGCTCGACGCAGCGTTAACTTCAATGAATTTTCATATGGCAAATTTTAAAGTCATGTTTTTGGAAATTTGTCCATAAAGAGAACAAACAGAGGTATATCCTCATATTTTTCAAAATTTTAAATAGTGCCCCGGTATTATAATATTGAATTTTTTAAAAACAATTGCGAAATAAATGGATGAAAAATATTTTCTTTTAAATGAAATAATTTTTATTAGGTACTCTTATGTCTCTACTACAAGCACCCACAAAGTTCATTTTGATCGGTTTGTTAGTTCAACGGTTTTGATCGATTGAAAAAAGGTTGATACTATACGTATTTCAAAGAGCTGTAAAATCAATAATTTAAAAAATTTGTTTAAATTCTTCGAGATACGTTTATATATCACTGAAGACTACAACATATCCAAGTGTCAACTAAATCCGAAATGTCACTCCAAAAAGTGTCAGATTTCGCGTGGAATGCCCCAGGGACGTTGCGTAAACCGCCTCTGAATTTCTTCTGTTAAGGTCCGTGTTCACATTGACAGTAAATCGTGACTTTAACTGTCATGACACTAGATGTCATGACTTTCATCGTTGACATTACTGTCACGAAATCAAAGTAAGTTTGATTTTCTAGTAACATTGTCGCGACAGTACTGATGACGATATCAAAGCCAAAAAAAATAAATAATAATTGATCAGTAAATATAATTAATTGTATTTTGTTTAATTATATTAGTTTTCATTTTCTTATCCAAACTTTTGTCTTCCATTTGTTTCTACTTCTTTTAATTTCAGAATTTATAATTTAGACAAAAACGTTAATAGCCGCTCCGACTATGTCGTGCGGCGTTATGTTTAAAACAATTTAAAAATAATTAAATGTTGTCGCATTAAATTGCTTGAAAACAGCTACACAAAAATGTCACGCTATCGTACAGTGTTACGGCAACGAAAATCATGACTATTACTATCACGTGAACACGGACCTTTACATCAGTTACATGGTCACGGCGCGGTGTGACGTGTCCATCTACTTAACGTATTCTGCATCGTACGTTCTCCTTAACGTTTGAAGGTGCATTCATATTACCTGTTCTGACATTGATCGGCACTGACACCGACCGGTTCCGCCAAATTTTCTTCTGGATAGCCTTATGGGGTCGTTTCACGCCAAACGAATCATTTTTATTCACGATGTTTGGAATTTTACTTAAATTGAAATATGTTATAATTTATGTGAAAATAGTGGAGGTTAAGTTATCATTTTGCTTGTCTCGAAATTGTTTAAAACATACAGACCCTGAAAGTTGTCAATTTTCATCGATTTTTACGAAAACTATCATCACAAAAGAATTTTTACCTGAGTAACTACTAAAGAATCCGAATTTGATTCTGTTTTCATTTTGATCGTAAAAGATCATTCTTTGTAAACACTTTTTTGGCGTGTGGATATTAAATTATTTGCAAAGATCCAAAACATTGTTCATTAGTGTTGAAAATGCTGTTTTCGGACTATTATTTGGATCCATTGGTATTTGATGGAATACACTTGTGATGTCTAAGTGGTGAAATATTGAGTTGGACCTATAGTTGATCTAAAATATCTTCTATATTTGGGAGAGGGTAATAGTCTAGCCGAATTAAACCGTATCAGATGTACCATTTCACGAAAGAAACTTTAATCCATAATAATTCTGATAGTGAAGATGACAATAGGACTGATCTGTATGATAAGGAGGTACCAAATGCAAATTCAATTTTTCAGGAGGATGAAAAACTGTATTTATATGTAAATAAATAATTGTAATGCATTTATAAATAAAATTGAAACTAAAGTTCAAATAGATATTTTAAACTATTAATTTTTAATTCATATTTATTATTTTGTGCTTTGTTATTGCACATAACTTAGTATGAAAAATATCAGCTTGGATATTTCCAAGTAAATGGGTACATCATATTATCTGTCGCGTGACATCGTCAGGTGGCTACCAGATAGCAATTCCTATATTTTACATGCAATTTACTATGACTATAAGCTATTTCAGCCGTAATAAAATTACATAAGGGTATTTGCCAGATAACATCTCTTTGCCAGATAACATTAACAGCGTCGATGCGCAGCCAGACAAATGTTTGATCACTTTGCAGTACTTACACTATTACCAAAATAAATTTCAGTCGTAATCAAATTACGTAAATGCACTCTAATTTTTGTTCAACACTATATTGTCACCAAACGCAGTGTATCCAAGCTGCTAGACAACGATTTTTTCATTTTTGATTAAATTAACTGAAGCCTAAGAAATGTGCAGCTGTAATCAAATGACATAAGGAAAAAGTGCACTGGCTCCGGGACTATAGAGTAGGGATGTTAGTGGGAAGTGGGAGCAGGACTTGGGTTGTAAAGTATGATTTTAAGGCCTCCAAGATCCAGAGTCTCCAAGACCTTGGGTTTTCCAGTTTAAGCCACGTATGTCCTTCTTAATGGTTTTTGAGGAAATGTAAAAAGTGAAAGTTGATCCTTTCGCTGGCATGTTGAACATCGGTAGTCCAACAACTGTTACCTCTTACCTTCTGATACACCACTGACGGGATCAGTTTCGAATTGTGGTCACGTGAACGTATTGGGCACAGGTGAAAGATTCTTTTCACAAGAAGATTTAATGACATTTGGGGCACAGAAGTCAGTTATATCGTGTGTGCAGTGGTGAACGCTTTCAGTGTCCAGATTGTTCCCTTATCGACGCGAACGTGTATGTAGTCCAACGTCGAACCTTTGTGCGTCAATTAAGTTCTATAGAGTAACGTCAGATTTACACTAGCGGCCAAAGGCATGATCAGATCACGATCGATTAAGATTGTACAGATGTAGACATTCAGATGTAGATTATATTTTACTCCTTGGATTACGTGTGAGCGATGAAGACCGCTGCCGGATTTGTCGTGATCTGACCGTGCCGTGACCGCTAGTGTGAAACTGGTTTAATCTCTTCGCTGCGCAAATTCAAAGCCAGGTCCAGATAGTTGCAACCATAGACACATATAGACGGAGCATAAGCTACCACTTTGGGCGAGGGGACCGTAGGATTGGAGGGGAAAAGACAGCGGTCGTTAGATATACGTCGGTTAGCTTCGGGTGCATTCGGCTCGATTCGGCTCGTTATTAACACTAGGTTTACGGGACGCGTCATTTTGACGCATTTCGAATTCTTTCTAACCTCGAAATTCTCTATGTGGTATACCTATCTCTATAGCTATGCATTAATTTCAGAGATCATAAATTGTGTATTATGTAAAATAAGTTGTTTTTTAAAGAAAATCTGTGGGTTCGTTGATGCGTGCCGTGGAGATACCTACACGATAAGTGCCCGTAAACCTAGTGTTAATGGCTGGTGGGCTGTGTGCCGTATTATTATTTAATGCTTTATACTATTTATTAACTTTGTTAAATACATATATCTATACAAACTACAATACATACGGAATTTTTAAAGTATAATAATTATATTCTTTTCATCTCTCATAGCATACATGTATGTAACGTGATTGTATACCCGAATAGCACCGAAAACCGCGAATCTTACTCCCCCGCTCAGTTCATGCTCCGTCTACACTAAACGCCAAATAAGAACATAACTGTTTCGCGGATCTCGAATGAGCATGAGAGGTCTCTCGAACCCCTGGTTCCCCCACTTTCTCGCTTTCTGTAACAGGGACGATAGAATTTGTCATACACCGGGTGACATAATGAAGTATTTCTCGAGACATGAATACTTATGAATTGGCACGTTTGTACTTCACAGTCACTCGATGTATGATGCTACACGAGGCATAATGCTAAATTGTTTAAGACGTTGGTAACTAAGGTGACCGAGAGGAATATGCGCAAACAAGACGGAAATTCCGTTCACACTCGAATAACATGCAACAGAATTTCCACTTGAGATCCTCAAGAATTTTCTCCTGAAAATTCTAGTAGAATCAGCCGGGTGATTCTATATGCAAGTATAAGTCGAAGAAGAGGATAACATTTCCATTTATGAAAAAGAATTAGTTTGAAAATGTCATGA